AACCCCGCGGCTCGCTGCCCGGGGAAAGGGAGGGGATGGGGGGGGAGATGTCCGCAGCGTCCTCCGGGCCATTGCACACTGGCGCTCTGGGAGGGTACCAACCTGGGCAGGGGGCTTTCCCCCCCCCCTTCTCCCACCGTCCCAGCATCCCTGTCCTCGCTTTGTTTAAAGAGACCTCGAGGACAGGAATCGCTGTAGCAGCGTGGGGAGGACAGGGCTAACGGGGATCCCGGTATGAGCCGGGGAAGGCACAAGGAATTGCCGCCGAGACACCTTTCCAGAGGTCCCCGCAGGGCGAAGCGGCACAGGGTTTTAATTTTGAACGTGCCGAGTCCTCCGCTGCAGCGGGCGGTTTTTCTAAACCTTCCTTTAGGTTAGTCCTGCGTGAGTGTGTGACGGTTATTTTTCTTTTTCCCGGGGCTCGAGAGGGTGGGAAGCAGATGCCCCTTTGCAGACAGGGCTGAACCAGAGAAATAAGTCGGCTTGCCATCTTATATCAGGTTGTATTTCTACACACACCCCCCCCCTTTGCTTTCCTCCCCAGGTGGTTTTAGCAAGTTCCAGGCCGAGTTCGCCCTGCACTGCGAAACTAACCTAGACAGTTCGTGTAGCAGCAGTTCTCCTCCTTTGCCAGTCCTGGGCTTGGGAGGCCTCCGAATCAGCTCTGATTCCTCATCAGACATTGAATCTGACATTGACAGAGACCCCAACAGTGCCACCGACTCCGATGGCAGCCCTCTCTCCAACAACCAGCCTTCCTTCCCGGTGGAGATTTTACCCTACCTCTACTTAGGCTGTGCCAAGGACTCCACTAATCTGGACGTTTTAGAAGAGTTTGGCATTAAGTACATATTGAATGTTACCCCCAACCTGCCTAATCTCTTTGAAAACGCCGGCGAATTCAAGTACAAACAGATCCCGATCTCAGACCACTGGAGCCAAAATCTGTCTCAGTTCTTCCCGGAGGCCATCTCCTTTATAGGTGAGACGCGGTTATTTGCTAACAGCTATATATGTCTAGCGTCAGATTTCAGCTTCTTTTGCAGAATTCAGGAGATCTCGGTCGAGAAGCGGTAGCAGCGTTTTTGGCAGTCTCTGGGGGATGCCCCGCTTTATGGTTTTAAAGGCGGTTTAAATTAAGGGGCGGGTGGGGACTGTCTGTGGGGTTATTGAGGAGCCCCGGTGAATTGTAAGCGACGTTTGCACGTTGCAGATGCGTACCTGGTTCGACTGGCTGTGGGATTCCTCCCTGAGCCGCTTCTGTCAGAGCTGGGGAATGAGCAATGAGCAGGATGGGAGATCTTTTTAAATCTCTTCCTGGGGGAGGTAGATTGAGCCCGGGTTTGATGGTTTATTCGTCCTTTTTTTGGTTGGTTGGTTGTTTTTTGTTTTTGTTTTTTTTTTCCTTCTTGAGGTTACTGAAGAGCAGTATAATAAAAAGAAACTATCTGGGAAGCTAAGTTTAGCTTTGAAATACAAGTTATTCATAAACGGTATCCCTGGCAAATGTATGAGCTTTAATTAAATCTCGTGGTAATAATGATATACCCCTCGGGCTCGGTGCCTCGGTTAGCCAACTCTCAGACATTATCCATCAGCTTTGGAAACACGTCCCTTTAGGCTCAAGGAGTTTTGGTTAAAATTTGCCCTCTCCCTCGTTTCGGGGAGGACTGAAATCATGCCATCGGGGTGCGGGGGGGGTAGGCATCGCGTTATCTGTTGGGAAGCTGTGCTGTAATCCGGTTGAATGATACCGGTAATAGTGGAGAATGTAGGTAATCTGAGCCCAGCAGGAAGAAATGTAGGCTGGAAGCCACAAAGAAACTAATCTCCAGGCATTGTAATGCATTTCCTATTACAAAGGAACCCATTTTCAACCAATGTTGACATCCTGTTCCTCTTAATGGGCTGTCCCCTGTGACTTCCCTCATTCTTTTAAAATGCCTGAATACCTCCATTGTTAGCTGCACAACAGTTGGAGAATAATTTAATAGACCTTTGCAGTCTGCTGGTCTGTATAAAAGGCATTCAGTGACATATTGCAGGATTTCCATGCTGGGGCAAGGGGACTGTAAGAATTTAAGGCAAATCTCCAGGCAAAAGCGTGTCTTTTAAAACTGACTTAAAACGGTGTCATGCAGCGTATCCTGTTCCCTTTGTCTTGTTCTTAGTTTTCTCAGCTCTTGGACTCGGGTACATACACGTAGGGGGGTGGATTCTCCTCTTGTCCTGGTTTTAAGCCCGTGAAGTTAACTCTTGCACTGTGCTGCTGGCCACTGGCATCAGAATCGTCGTTTCTTCCTACTTGATAATAATCTCACTTGTGTTGAGAGATCAGTTACCAACCCCCTGTCTTATGTGTCCTCCTCTGCCTCTTTGTCCCTGTACAGATGAAGCACGGGGGAAGAACTGCGGCGTCCTGGTGCATTGCTTAGCAGGGATCAGCCGCTCAGTCACCGTGACGGTGGCCTACCTCATGCAGAAGCTCAACCTGTCCATGAACGATGCCTACGATATTGTCAAGATGAAGAAGTCTAACATTTCACCCAACTTCAACTTCATGGGTCAGCTGCTAGACTTTGAGCGGACTCTGGGGCTGAGCAGCCCCTGTGACAACCGAGTGCCAAACCAGCAGCTGTACTTCACCACCCCTTCCAACCAGAACGTCTTCCAGGTGGATTCCCTGCAGTCCACGTGAGCTCCCACTGCCTCCCTTCTGTTTGTTTCATGGGATCACTCCTCAATGGTTTCTCTTTGGCAGTGATAAAGAAAACGCAGCTTTCTCTTTTTCTGGCCTCTGCTATCAAAAAGCAGCTGCCAGTGCAGGCTAGGAAAGGTTTACACAGTATGGAATCGGCTATTGCGAAGGGAGGGAACATGGTGAGCTCTCTGGGAAGGACCGTGGTGACCGGGTGGCAGGTGGGCAGCACGCTCATCCCTGCTTGCGGAGTGGCTTGGGTGTCCGAGGACTTCCCCGGGGGGTAGGGTAAGGCGGGACAGGCTGGGCACGTCTTCTCTAGAGGACTGCAACTGTCCTGCTTTCCTCTCTGCTTTCGGATCTGTGACACACATCTTTGTCTTCAGTGAAGACTAGTTATTTTTGTTTGTTTGTCTGTTTTAATTTAGAGGAGCCAAAGAAAGAGATTTCAGCTTAGTGTATTTGGAGTACTTGTTTGCTGGGAGCTCGGTAGTATCCTACTTGATCAGTGTAAATATTTAATCTTAAATCGATTTGCAATTTTTTTGAATTCACATGTATTCAAGAAATCAATCCAAGGGACATCTGTGTTTTTGTTTTCTTCATAAATTCTGCTTTTATTTGTTTGTGGGGTTTTTTTTAATTGCAAAGAATATATTTGCAGCATGCTTAATTTTACTGTTCAGCTGAAGCAAGCTTTCCATGAGGGAGAAATGGCAATGGTGAGAAGTTTTCAAATCATGTTTTGTGAGCGAGTACAGTCTCTTCTTTCGTATATCTTTCTTTTCCTTGTGGTGATTTTCTTTTTTTCTCATGCTCTTGATGTAGTTTCCATATTATATATATATATATTTTTAAATTAAATTAATTTTTTGCCTTACCTTTTGTAAATAGATCATCTGGGAGGAAGTTTGTCTTTGAATGCAAAAGAGTTTTTGATCACTTTTTAAAACTTTCGGATGTGCTAAACAGTGCATTACCTCTGTACAAATTCTTCAGGGAGCTTCACCTCAAATGCAATATTTTGCGTCTTTTTTTTTTTTTTGTATAAAACTGGAAGTATGTGCGAACATTTATACCTGTGTGTACACACAGTGAACATGCACATGGTTGCCAATAAGGGAGAGTCTAATTCACAGTGTAAAGGTTTGAAGATTGAATTTATTATAAGAATGTAAAACCTTAAATTATTAATAAATAAATAACTATTTTTGGCTATTGAGCATCTGGCTGCTTTATTCCCCCTTTCCCTTCTGTGTGGGTGTGGTTAATTGCACATACACATATGGTTGTGTTTAAAGGTAATGATTGCTTGCAATAGCTTTCGTACAGCCCATAAAACAATAAAGCCTTGATTTCCCCTTTGGTCCACTGGTGCTTAAATGAATAAACAGTGCATGTGCTGGATTCTTGTCTTGCTTTGGTGAAGGGAATGCTTTTGAAAGCCTTTAGCTTAGTTGCAAAGTATTCTAGCATCCCTTTGCTACCCCAGGGATGCACCTGATCCTAGGCCATAAGGATTTTTTTTTTTTTTTAAGTAAGGTGCTGCTGTCTTCTGGGTTTATTTACAAGTTTTGGCACCCTGTTACAGGTGCCAGGAGATGGGTTCATGCTTTTCTTATCTGCAGGAACTCATTTCAGAGATCTGCAGAGTCTGCAGCCTGTAGATGATTTTTCTGTTGCTATTCAGCCATGTTGCAACTTAGCAGGTGAATGCAAGGAGCAAGTCTCTATAATACCCTTAGTCATCTCATTTCCTCTTTGGACCCTTAAAGGAGTCCTGCCCCTGCAGAAGGAAAAAGGGACATTACAGCAATTGCAAAACTTCCTGCTGCAACTTATTTCCATTAACATCCTTCCTGATGAGAAGAGGCCCAAGGTGAGGTGGTGCCAAAATCTGTGCAGTACCACGGTGATGGGCTGATGCTGCAGCTGGGGCTGTCAGCTGGGGTTCTGCAGAACTCCTGGCAGCCGGAGCACATTTCAAGTAATTTTAGAAACTGCAAGTGTGTGAAATGAAAAGCAAACAAAACATGGGAAAAAAGTGAGTCAGTGTCTCATGCAGTAGTGGCCTAGATTGAGTGCATAAACTGTGAAAGTAGAAGTGGGTTGCAGTTAAACTTGGCTTGTGCTAATCCAGTTTTGAACGGTTTCCGCTCTTGGCATTCCCTATGCTGCTCTGTTCAAAGTGGAGATTTGCAAGCAGCTCTAGCAATTTCCTGTCCAGCTGCAGCTCAAGTGACTCCCTTTTTTTTTTTTTTTTTTTTTTTTTTTTTTTTTTTTTAATATGGTCTGCGGATAATTTTAGCCAGTTTCCTCTTTGTGGATTATTAATCTGCTTTCCTTGTAGAACCTACATAGCTGTGTCCCTACTGTTCTGCTGAAGTCAACAGATGGCCTCCCCGCCACTTCCTCTCGTTTTGCTGTGGGTTTGTTGTCAGGCCACTTCTGAAATTAATAGTGTTTTCTGGCCGGCTGCCACAGGCCATTACCACAAAGGGGAAGTAACACATCTGAATAGCAGGAAGCCAGGCAGGGTCACAGCGTGAACTGAACCTGTTGAGCACGATGGGGCCTCTCCTGCTTAGCAAGTGTAGGGCTCCTCTTTCCTCCCCCTTCTTAATATGCCTTGCACAGAGAGAGGGCCAAGGCGAATGCCTCAGCTGTTTGCACCAGGCAAATATTTCCGGCTGAATGAGTTGCAAATGTTAAGTGTGACTAGGTGCGGGTTAAGGTGAAGGGGTAAAGAGCAGTGTGCAGCGATGTAGCCTAGGGCAGGGAGGGCCTTGGCTTTCTTTGCAAGCTGCTCTGAAAAGTTTGCTCACAAGGGCTTCCTACTTCCTTCCTGCTTTGCTGAATGACTAACACCAAATGGGTACTTCTGCAATTCATTGTTTTTTGGGACAAGAAAGCAATGATCTTCACTCACACAGAGACACGCACAGCAGAATCGGGCAGAAAACTTGCTACAGATTTTTCCTTGAGCGATGCCTGAACCAGGGCTGTTAGTCAGGAAACCTTGGCTGAACTTGAACCAGGACTGGGCAAGAGCAATTCTGGTCACAGACAAACCCAAACCAAAAGTGAAGCCAAACCAAAATCTGCTTCAACTTCTGATTTTGCTGGGGGTGTTCATGCTCACTTATGTGCCAGCTCCTAATTACAAATAGTTTTGAGGGAAAAGCAGTGAGGGTTCTCACCAGCATACCTCTGCCTCAGCACAGTGAGGGGAATGGCTCATGCTACATCAGTTTTTCAGAAGCTGGGCTCTGCTTACTCCTGCAGTGTCTCCCCCCCCCTTTCCCCACCCCACCCTTGTTTCAAAGTAACTTTCCACCTTTTTTCCTCTCCCTCGTTTCAGTCTTTGCTGGGATGGGGCAGAGGTCTTGGGCTTCTGGGGGCTTTGGCAGCTATTATAGTTCCTCAGTTGGTAATTTGTACAGTGAAGAATAAATCCTTTGTGCCTGGAGGGACAGGCCTCGTGTGTAGGGGAAAGGGGGAAATATCCCCAATTTGCAGCTAAAAAAATGGGAGCCTGCTTTGTTTGCAGGAGTGTGAGGTACTGAATTCCTCTGGAACTTATGGAGCTATTAGGAAGGAAAACTGTACTTTCTCATATGACCCATCTGTGCCTTTAACACAAAGGGTGAAGGTCCTGTGGCATCCATGTCCCCTTTGCTCTGCTAAGGCCAATGTTCTCATTGTTTGGATGCACTTAGCACTTTGCTTTCCATTTTCTGTGCAATAACGTGATGTAGCTCATTGTGCTGGTTCCACTTGCATTTCCTCTTTCCCACTCACACCTTTTCAAACCACTCTATGACCACCTTCAAAATGTCTTCCAGCTCTTTCTGTTTTTTGTTGTTGTAGCCATAATTTTTCTCTTTCCCCATTCTTTTTCTTGTCCTTGTTTAAATGCCACTCTTCCCCCTATGCCTTCTGTTCTTTCCAGAACCTTTTCGAAGCTCCATGGTCCTTTCTTCTCTTTCATTTTCTTACCCTCTTCTTTCCATGTTACTCTCCGGCTGTTTGTCTTACGTTTCCTAAATCAACTCCACTTTCTCCCAGCCTTAAGCCTCCCTGTTCCTCATTGTTTTCACAGTGAAAAACAAGATGAGTCTCATGGACCCAGTTATAGTGAACTATAGGAAAGATGTATATGAGAGGAAGACGTAAGAAAATATTACTGCCATACTCTTGCAACTTCCTAGCAGATGATCTATTCTCCATCTCCATTCCTGGTTGCTGCGTAGATTTAGATCCATGTGGCTTCCCTGAGTCCTCTCTGCTACTGCTAACAGGGAAAGTGGGTGCGAAGAAGCAGCTTTTCCTCAGGGCCCATCCAGTATCACAGTGCGCTGACCTGCCTCTCAGGAGTGGGGAGTGGTGAGGAAAGCTGGGAGAGACCAAAAATGTGGCCACCAAAGGCATCTCTGCTAGAAAACTGAAGCCGGGCTTAACAACCATGTGTCTGGAGAGCATTTCACAGAATCATCTAGGTTGGAAAAGACCTTGAAGATCATCCAGTCCAACCATTAACCTAACACTGACCATTCTCAACTACACCAGATCCCTCAGCCCTATGTCGACCCCACTCTTAAACACCTCCAGGGATGGGGACTCCACCACCTCCCTGAGCAGCCCATTCCAATGCCTAACAACCCGTTCTGTAAATAAATGCTTCCTAATATCCAGTCTAACCCTTCCCTGGTGCAACTTGAGGCCATTCCCTCTTGTCCTGTCGCTTACTACTAGGCTAAAGAGACTCATCCCCGGCTCTCTGCACCCTCCTTTCAGGGAGCTGTAGAGGGCGATGAGGTCTCCCCTCAGCCTCCTCTTCTCCAGACTAAACACCCCCAGTTCCCTCAGCCGCTCCCCGTACGACCTGTGCTCCAGACCCTGCACCAGCTTCGTTGCCCTTCTCTGGACATGCTCGAGTCATTCAATGTCCTTTTTGTAGTGAGGGGCCCAAAACTGAACTCAGGAATCGAGGGGCGGCCTCACCAGTGCCGAGTCCAGGGGTCAGATCCCTTCCCTGTCCCTGCTGGCCACGCTAGTGCTGACACAAGCCAGGATGCCATTGGCCTTCTTGGCCACCTGGGCACACTGCTGGCTCCTGTTCAGCCGGCTGTCAATCAGCACCCCCAGGTCCCTCTCTGACTGGCAGCTCTCCAGCCACTCCTCCCCAAGCCTGTAGCGCTGCTGGGGGTTGTTGTGGCCCAAGGGCAGCCCCCGGCATTTGGCCTTAGTGAAACTCACACAGTTGGCCTCAGCCCATCGCTCCAGCCTGTCCAGATTTCTTCAGTTTCTCTGAAAAGCTTATCCAAAATTTCTTCCCTGTTGAGAAGGGTGATGACACACTATTCAGAGCTCCAGGAAAAACAATTCCATTTGAACATTTAAATGAGGCTACAGCTTAGGCCTTCTCTCCACACTGCTATAAATCACTAAAACCTTTGCCTGAGTGAAGATGGTGGAACAAATTGCTGAGCTCAGTTCAGTGCCCCCCTAGACCTGCAGTGTGCATGTTCAGCATTGCTTAGTTACCCCAGGAACACAAGTATGGGGCCAAAGCCCTCCATCACACAGCAGCACATATGGGTCACTCCTGGGACTCCAGAGAGATTCTTCATTCAAGGAAGGTGGCTGAGTTTGCTCCAAACACCTCATAGTCGAAATGAAATAGAGGCTACCCGATGGTGTTTTCTCATGGCATATGGTGACATTGGGGTATATGAACTCTGCCTTTTTCTCCCTTCCCCAACAGCCAGAAATGTATGGTGCTGTATCATGTGTCTCCTTTCTTCATTGTCAAATTTGAGAGAGAAGCATGTGCTGTAACTTAGTAGATAGCACAGGCAAAAGGCTGGTATGGGAGCTGCTCTCTTTTGATTAAAGTGCTTGTCTCTGTAAGGAAAGGAAAAAAGCCCATTAGATGCTTTCTGTTGTTTGTTATCATAGGGATCTGCAAGCACTGAGGGAATTTTGGAGTGCTCACAGCCATAGCTTTTCCTCATAAGGCAAAGATGAAGGATGTTGACTTACCACAAACACAAGGAGATGATTATCAGATGGAAAGTGGGGATATGGAGTCTGTTTAGGAAATATTTTTAATGACAGAAGTTGCATTCAGGACATTTGAGAGATGCAACAGAAAGTGTGCCCTGTTCTACTTCACAGCTGCGATCCCCCGGACGCAGGAAGCACGCAGAAATGCTGGCG